GGAAAAGGAAGATCCATTTGTACAGTTTTTGTAAATTGCATAAACAGAGTAATATTTTACTTGCAAAAAAGTTAAGGAAAGTGCGTTCCGACACTGCTAATTTTGCAATGACACCACTGATACATATGATTTTTTTTAAAGTAATATTATTTTCCTCAATTACGCATACATTTTTAAGGTCACGTAAAATTGATTGCACAGATTTTGTTTTTCCTACCAGAGGACTTTATTTCTACACAACATTTTCCCGCAACAATTCCATCGACATTTACTGCCCGCCATGGTACATCATATGAGATAAGAATTCCCAAATGTTCAACGTTACTTTGAGTTATTTTTTCATACATTTTTAAAGCAACTGATTCATACTTTTTTCCATGTAATGTTGCAGTATTTCCATTAAAATTGGAATTACACAATTGGTTGAATTTAAGTGGCCAATTTGCCACTCATTTACACTATTCACATTTTTGTTACACAGTACCAACAGGTTGATATTGTATTTTTATAAATAAACAGTGAATCCAGAAATTCTGGTTCCATGTTTTTAAGAAATTTAATAAAAATTGTTTATATCAGGTTTGTTAACAGAGACAAAAAAATGTCCATCGTATTACATTTAAGCTATATACAGTCTATTAGATCATAGTTCGGTTCAATACAATATATTACAGTATCTGTTTTTCAAGGAACTTGTTGACTTATAAATAGAAGATTTCAAATATTTTAAAAAGTCAATTAGAGCTCTGTACACATTTTTGAAATATCTTCCTGACATTATCATTTGCAAATTATGTGCTAACTGATAATTTGTATAATCTATAATAATTACACTCGATGAGTAAATGTTCTACTGTGAGACGTCACAACGTTCGCAATCAGGTAAATTTTCGCAAATTTTCATTACAGGTAAAAAACTGTTTAAACCACTCCACACAATTGGTACTGTTGAATTTTTTTTGTTGATTAATAATATTTCCAAAGCATCTTGGAATAATAATATATATGCTTTTTACTGTAGTTAAACTGTAGTTAAACTGTAGTCGAAATATAGTTGGCCGTGTTTGTAACCAACATGTGAAGATAATCGTTTTTGTCACCAAAAATATTGCTGATGATGTCACTGATATCTTAAGTCAGCAGTAAAATATCAGTAGCAATGCATCAGGGCTTGTCCTATACTGAAGATTTTTTTGGTGAAAATAAAAAAAGTTGAAATATGTGTTAAACATATTAATAATTTATTGGGCTAATACAATATTTGTCAATAAAATTTAAAAACCCGATCAATACACTAACAACAAAAGTTCTTTAGATACCTTTTTGACTGCATATTATATAGACTGCATTATTTAAGCACTCACATTCAGGAAGTGGATTTTCAGGCATCATTTCATTCTTGTTTACCACTTCGTGATATTATTTCACATTTTCCATTTCACTCCATTTTTCACCATAATGTTTTTGTAATAAAACACCCACGTCTTTAATTTTTAACGCATTCACTTTGACTCCAAGCGTAAGTTCAGTTGGGTTTATATTCCACACTTTTTTCCCTGGTCTTATGACACTCAAACTTGAACTAATTGGGAAACTGTAGTTTTGTTCGCCACTGTCAGTTACTGACTTTTGTTTCTTGGTCAGAATTAACTTTTTGATTTGTGATTTTTAAAATGAAGATTTGTTGGGTCTTTAACACAGTTTTTAGCTTCTGACTCCCAATCTTGGTTGGTCCTGTCTTTTCCTAAAAGTTTAACTGTCCCATGCTTACTAAACTCTGAATGATACTCTTCAAACTGCACAATTGTGCAATCTCTTTTCTTTACACTTCGTTCTATGCCACCAAAAATTCTATCACTAGGCATATATGAGTGATCGGCAATAGTTAACACAAGCTCTACTGTTTTGATTGAAGTTTTAATCCCGTGCAGCCAAGCAATGGACATTGTTAATACAGTATTATTCTTGTTTTGGCATGGGCATCCATTAACTATCAGCCTTAAGGGTCTTTTCCTTCAAAGTAACCAGATTTAGATCAACGCTCAAGTTCTTCAAATACTGAAGAGGCTATTTAAGATAATATATATCTTAAATAGCCTCTATATAAGCTATAAGAGGCCTAGTTTATTTTCATCGGAAATTAAATACAGAAATCCTAAAGTTACAAACTGGGTACAATATAAAGATTGCCTCATTAGAAATCTCCGAAAAAGTACGAATTTGTTTAAAGGGATAGATGTCATAAATTTGCAGCAGAAACGGTGAACGAAGCTCACTGGTTTCTACCATGGAACTGTCCAGAAAAAACAAGGATGGTATGGACAGTACTACAGTGTGGTGAAAAAATGGCTTAAAGAAGCTAAGGGCAGAAGTCCGAACCCTATTTAACAAAGCCAAAAGTAACCAAGACGGGGATGCCTACACTTATAAGCTAACGCTATACACTACAGAAATTCCTGCTTCCTGCAACCTGCTTTCGAATTCATAAATTTATGAATATTTAATAATTCTCTTATTCAGAGAACACCTGATTTAATACCGAAGGATCAAACTAACACCCAAGATCCCCAAGATCCAGCCAAGTCAACTTTGTACAAATTGTTCACATTCTGCATCCGAAAATTTCATTGTCCGTGATGTATTTGTATGTTTATCTACTGAAACAGTTATATTAACATAAAAACAACATACAATCTACACTGTACACTTAAGAGAATAAACTAGCTGAACATATCAAAAAAGACTTTCCCTAACTTTCTATAGTTCAATTCACAAAATTATATTGATATCAATTAAAAAACCTAATCTTACGTAATCTACTTTGTAATGATAAAAATTTTTTAAGTTTAATTTTAAAATTTAAAACATATTTAGACATTATTATTTTAAATAAAATTGAAATATTTTAGATACCAAAAATGCGTGATATTTGTGTCTCAATGATTTACGTACTTCATATTTATATAATTTTACTCGACTTTCATAATTATACGAAATGGTACTTAAAAATATTGGATTTTTTAACCTAAGTAGCTTATCACCTGGTTTATTAAATTTTATGTTAAAGACTTACTGTAAAGTCTGTTTTATTGGCGTGTTTACAGTTATTAGAACTATGAAACACAAACTTACCATCTGTAAAACTAAGCAGTTCTTCTGCTATGAGTGTCTTGTCTTATCAGAGATTGGCAACAATTTTGGCAAATTTTCCTTTGTCTTGGTTCTTCCTCAGCAAATCGTTTGAGCTTAAGCCAGCCCAATTTAGTATGTTCTTAAGCCGGGAGCACTCTCTGCGTCCTGATTGGCGTATTAGGATAAAAACAGTTGTTTATTTTATGCTCAGCCACAGGCCTTTTTTAAGTAAATAAATCAAAATTTGTCTTAAAGTAAATCTATTTTTATCCATAGTGCTATATCTCGCTATACATTCATTAATAACGAAAATGCTTTAAAATGCCCGTTTGGTAATCGCCTTGTTTGATTTTTATATATTAATATATTCGTTATACCCCTCCATTTCATTTTCTATGTCGCTTGTTAAGATTGGATCGCTTGTTTATTTTAAATTTAGCCAGAAACTTTTTTTTAGTCAATAAATCAAAATTGGTCTTTTAGTTTGACTATTTTTATCCATAGTGCCCAATGATATCTCTATCTGTAACTATACGTTGATTTATAATGAAGATACTATGTAGTGCCCATTTGGCAGTCTCCTTAGTGGTTTTTTGTCTTAATATATTGGTTATATCCTTCCCTTTCATTTAAAGCATTACACGCTCCAATTGGGCGAATAACAATGGAGATATGATTTAATGCCCTTTTCGCAATGTGCATTTTTTTGTCTCAACACATTCGCTACGCCCTCCCCTTTCCAATGATGCCTCATACGTTACGATTCGACTAACTATTCTAATTATACCATAAAACGCTCTAAGATATTTTGCTTAATAAAAATCTTACCTTATAATACGACAACTTACTGGAGACACATTGAAAATCAGACAGAGTCATATCTACATAAAAAGAAGAAGACTATAAACAGACAGAGTTATAAACAGAGTTATAGATAGAGTTAATAATGCAAGTAAAGCAATGGGACTGACAACCAATCTTGTACTAAACGATCAGGAGGATCCATATATAGAAATAAAAACACAAACAGAACAGGCTAGGAACATGTACAATAAATGGAAGCAAATTATGCATAACTGAAAGCTAACCTTAGACATCCGAATTAAAGTTATTAAATTCTACGTTTGGTCCTTCTGTATGGAGTCGAAGCCTGAACATTAAAATGAAATACCATGAGACATTATCTCAGAACAAGCGGAAGCCAATTCATGTGCACCCTTTTTTATAGACCTCTTCAGATAATTATTAGAAATACATATTTTTATTATATTTACAAACCAATACTTTATGTTGTGTGAACTTTTGCTTTGGTATATTCCATATTTCTGTTTTTTTTTATACTTAGTGAAGTGAAGTAGTGAAGTGATTAGTGAACAGTGCAGTAGTATCTGGGAGCTCGGGAGACTGAGACCTCGGAAGCCCCGAAGAATATATGAGAGGATGTCGAAAGCTTGGCGCAATTGAAATCAACGCGTTTCAACCAGGAAGACTGGTGAGTATAATATTAATTTTTATAATAGTATTAATCTTAGCTCTAGGTTTAATTGTACTAACATAATAAAAAAGTTATTCTTCATAAACAGTTTTCTCTGGTCTATAATCTAAGATTAAGATTATACAGATAATACATTTTGAAGTGTTGTTTTGAAGTGTTCAAATTGTTGTTTGAGTTGATAAATCGTGTTTGCAATATTACTCTATATAGCCTACACCTTATATTTACTCCAATCTCTGAAAAATCAAAAAAAAACCAGAAGGGTACCACTCCTCATATTGCAACAAAGATAATGTTTATCTATAATAATGATAACGGAAAATCGTTAATTATTTACCTCTTCGATTTATTGTATATTTGAAAAATATATCTAAGCTGATTGATTTACCGCTACGTTTCTTTAACTGTTGTGTATGTGCGAAAGTGCTACTATTATGTTATTATTGTAGTATAGTAAGTTTTTATAGGTTTATTTGAATTTACGATAAAAAATAGCTTCATTATTTATTTGTTGATTTGATTATTTTATTGAATTCATTATAAAAAAAAATATTAATCAGAGTATCAAAAGGAATAAATTATTGTTATTTGAATTTTTAGGCTAATGTGTTGTTATGACTTGTAGGATCTTCTACTTCTTGATGTGCCTATCCGTTACGAATGTTGGCGATCATCACGGCAATCTTTATCTTATCTGCAGCAGTGCGGAAAAGCTGCACATATGTTGTGTTGAACCAGATTCTGAGGTTCTTTAACCAAGATGTTCTTCTTATTCCTGGACTTCTTTTTCCAAATAATCTTTCCTTGTAGGATGGCTTGAAGGAGAGCAAATCTGGATTCATTTCGCATAATAAGTCCGAAGAATTGTAACTATCAAGATTTGATGGTGGTCAGTACATTTTGGTTCTTATTTATTCTTTTGAGGAACTCCTTATTTGTGATTCGGTCAGTCCACGGGATCTTAAGTATTCTCCGATATAGCCGCATCTCAAATGTTTCCAGTTTTCTGCACAGATCTTCGTTCAAATTTCACGATTCTACACCATAAAAAGGACAGAGAAGACGTAGCGTATTCTCACTTTTGTATCAAGAGAGAGGTTGTGACTCTTAAAGAAGGCCCCTATCTGATTAAAGGTGGATCTAGCTTTTCCGATGCCTGCTCTAATCTCCTGGTTGTTGGTCCATTCTCCATTTATCATGCTGCCGAAGTAGTTGTAGTGCGTGACTCTTTCTACAGGAGATTTATTGACATAGAGTTGACCTTCTGTTATCCTTTTCTTGCTAATTCTCATAAGCTTTGTCTTCTTGACGTTTATATTGAGTCCATATTGTTGACTGTAATACGCGATTTTGTTCATAAGAACTTTTAGGTCTTCTAAGTTGTCCGCAAATACTATAATGTCATCTGCATATCTGATGTTGTTTAGCCGGTAACCATTTAGTAGAAGTTTCAATAAATATTCTTTCAAAGTACATATTGAAGATTAGACAAGACAAAATACAGCCCTGCATCACTCGATACACGATTTTCACATAGTCAGTATGTTCACCTTTAACTCTGAGATTTGCTGTCTGATTCCAGTAAGGATTTCTAATTATTTTCAGATTTTGGTTGTTAATTCCTGCTTCTTTTAATATTCGCATCATCTTGGTGTGCCGTACTCAATCAAACGCTTTCTCGTAATCACCAGACATGCGTATATGTCACAGTTGACGTCTCTGCATTTCTGGAATAAGACTTGTACTGAGAACAAAGCCTCTCCAGTACCAACAGCATTCGTGAACCCGAACTGGTTGGGGGAAATTTAACTTTCACACAGCTTGTAGATTCTCTTATGACTTATCTTTAGAAACGATTTAGGAAATGACTCATGAGGCTCATAGTACGATAATCTTCGCATTTTTTGGCTCCTGATTTTTTTGGAAGTGCAATAAACTTAGATTTCAGCCATTCTCTTGCTATTTCTAGTTCAGAGTTGTATATGTTGTTGAATATTTTTGCGATTATTGCTATTGATTCGTTGTCCATTAGTTTGAGTAGCTCTGCTTGTATATTATCAGGGCCTGTCGCTTTGCCATCCTTTAACTGTGTTATTGCCGAATAAACTTCCTGCTGTAATATTTTTGGTCCATCATTTATCTCTTCTTCTAGCTCAAATCTCTTTGGTCTTCAAATAGTTTTTCTAGCTATTCTTTACACGTTCTTATTTTACTCTGTTTGTCCAAGATGATGTTGTTGTCAGAATCATTTATATATTTCCTTTCTGCCTTCGTCTTAGCCCCCCTGTGAGTTCTTTAACATATGTACCTATGTACATTTTGACTATCGTACTTTAACCTACAGAGTCTCAATTTTTTCGCATCTTTCCCTTGCTTCTTTTTCTTTCACTTCTTTTATTTTCGTTGTTATTAATATACTTATGGTTTTATATTTGTCTGGGTCATTTTTGGCTTCCTTTCTCTTGTCCGTTTCAGGATCCCATCTGTCATCCATGATTTTTTCTTCATTAATATATCTGGCTTTAAGTGTTTATCCTTTACATTTTGCACTATTTTTGTAATATGTCTGATCCCTTGTTTTTCGTTCGATTCGTCTGTAATTGCAGTCACTTGCTTGTTTAACGTGGCTTGGACTCTTATCCTCGTATCAAGGTCTTTCAGCATACGTAGGTCGTATGATTAGGTCCGCTCTCTCGTTTCTGACTTCAAGTCCATGTGCTATAATGTACTGTGTCTTATCTCCAGTATGTATAATACCTTTGATGTTCTGATAGAACTCAATTGCTTCTTCCTTCTCTTTGTCTGAAGTCGGAACATAGACTTGGATGATGTTTATATTAATAGGGTTGGCTTCTACTTGTAGTAATATTACTCTATCTGATATTAGTGTAAAGTTAGTAACGCATTTGGCAACCTTGGGTGATACCATTATTCCGACTCCATATTCATGTGATCCATCACTTTTTCCCGAGTAATATACCTTGTGATCTTCTATTTGTATTTCTCCAGAATCTCATCTTGTAGGATAAAAAGTGGTAATTCAAAAACGCCGCTTAAATGAGGTGACGAGAAATGCGCATAAAATTGTCTAAAGCAATAAATGAACATCAGCGAAGTCAACTAAGATTGTGTCAATAGTATGGCGTGGAAATATTGATTAACATAAATAAATATGTTTTCCGAAATAGTGAGTTTCCTACTCGCCATTTAGGATAAGTTGATTTGGGTAAATCATCTAAGAGCTTAGAAAAGGTTGCCATGCAATTTCAGGCATTTGATAAACTGTATAGAAAAAAAGGATATGACTCAGTCGGAACGACACTAAAAAATCGTCTTCATCAAGAAGATAACTAAAAAAACTTGTCCAAGCCTTGTCTTCCTTAGCCTTAATATCAAAATGTCCGTGATAATTTATAATGCTTTATGGGAACCGTACGGTGCTGACACCAACTATGTATAGACATACATACTATAAATAGTATAGACCGGATTATACAATTACCTACTAAATTAAATTGACAAACAAACACCTATTAATATGACGATACCTAACAATAACAAGTACAGAGATCTTGAAGTACAATAAGATAACAGAGAATTTTTATAAGACCTTACAATTAGCGTGGGATACTCCAATTTTTTTACTTGATAACATAGAAAGAATCCTCAGAGCTCTTTGCTTATATACAACTAGTAACCTTGCTCGTGACATGCGACGGTAATCCAATCAATTGTCATCTACAGTCAGTCATAACATTTTTAAAATATTAAAATTTTTGCATCCAAGTAAAATTTTAAATCCAAGTAAATATTAAGTATGATCTAGTGCACTTCTGACTTGATATCATGTTTTTTACTATACCCTGTATATATATACTACTAGTATGGGACACTATGGATGATAATAGACATATTTGCTTTGCATATAAAGCATAACGCAAATTTGCTTTATTGGCCTAAAAAAGGCCTCTGACTAATTACAAAATAAATAATTAGCCTAATAATTTACGTGACACATCAAATTAAACAACGTGTATAGTATATAGTATATAGTATATAGTATATAGTATATAGTATATATATATATATATATATATATATATATATATATATATATATATATATATATATATACAGATTAAACGAATTTAAAACTGATCATACAATTTAATATATGTCTGTTTGAACTGCATTTGAAATAATGGACCAATATAAACCTTCGACAAAAATAAATCCATACCCAGTGATATACATTGTATAAAATATCGTTCAACTATCTGTTCCGTTTAAGGCGCACCATAGTCTAGAGCTCCTCCCAAAGTCAATGTCTCCAATCGCCGTGTAATAATCCGATTTGCGGATCTTTTTGAGAGATATCTTTTTCGTATCTTTAAATAAATCGGATATTTGCCTATATTTTTCATTGTATTTACCAATCTACTACAACAGACTAATAACAAAAATAAACCTAATGGTTTGTAGTTAGTTCCTTTCTTTCCTGTAAATATTTTATGGTTAACACCTTATTTGAGAAACATCTAGAGGAATGAAATTGGCAACACCGCTCAAGGTTCAGTAGGTTCACTATCGCATTTTTCACATTTTTCACGGTTTCAATTTTGAATCCACTCCTAGGTTCGTGTGCAATAGATTTGGCAAAAAATGCCGCTGTTGCAAGATTTAAAATATTCCATCAGTTTCAAAGAATATTTCAAATTTATAATAAAATAATTATTATGGAAGTTCTTTAGAAAGGAAAAATATATTTGGTTATTGTCCACCAATTTTATTTGCTATGTCGCATGTTACGATTCGATCAGTTGTTTATTTTGTACTCAGGCTGAGGCCTGATGAACTTTGTCTTATAGTAAATCTATTTTTATTCATAGTGCCCTATGATATCTCGTGCTATTTAAAAAAAATTTGTTATATCCGTATCCTTCATTTGATATGCCGCATATTGGAATTCTATCAGTTGTTGATTTTGTATTTAGCCAGAGGCCTTCTTTGAGTCAATAAATCAAAATTTATTTTATATTAAATCTATTTTTTTCTATAGTGCCCTATGATATCTCGGATGTCGCTATACGTTCATTAATAATGAATATTTTATGTAGTGCCCTTTTGGTTTGTTTTTTTCTATCTGAATATATTCGTTATATTCTCCTCATTAATTTGATGTCGCATGTTAAGATTCGTTCAGTTGTTTATTTGGTACTCAGCTAGAGAAATTGGTAGTGATCATCTACTAGAAACCACATTCAAAAGCAAAAGAAAAGAACTAAAAAGAAATGAGAACATAAACAGAAAACACAAAGAAATAATAAAAAGTTATACACTAAGGGAAGAAATAACGAAAACAAGATACTCAGAAGGGCCTAGAGAAAGAGATGGACAGTTTGTGCTGTGTATGGTGCAAAGTATTTCATTACCCCAATCACTGGGTAAGAATTTCTGTGTACATATTTCTTTTACGAGCTGATATAGTTCTTTATATAGTTCAGCTGGGACATTACCTATTACGGGTAATTTGGCGGGTAAATTCGTAATAAACTTTACGAATCTTTGGTGGTTCTTCCTCCATTTCATCTTTTCCGTTTATCTCATGTTTCTCGTCTTCTTGGTTTTCTCTTTCTTCCCTACCCATCTATTCTATACAGATTTCCTTGTTGTTAACAGGTCATCATTCTGACTTCTGCATTGGCCTGTTGACAGAATTATTTTCTATTCATGTTAACTTTCTTATAGTATGCTCTGAATTCTTTCTCTCTGTTAAGGTTTCTTGATATTTAAGTTCCTTAGGTAGTCTTTCAAGTGTTTTTTAATTTAAACTAAATTATTAATTTAAATAAATTTAAACAACACAAAATAATTTGTTTAATTTGTATTTAGAGAATGATTTCCAAAGTAAAAATCAACACGTCAAAATAAGCGTATTTTAAACTGAAATTGTGATTAATTTCCCATTAAAGATAGTAAATAATATTACAATACCACAAAAAAATAGTTTCAGAATAAATTAACCTTTTGACTTAACTCCAGATTTAAACACAATTGCATATTGTTTATCTAAAGTTTCCATTAGAACTGAAAAGTAAAAGAATACACTATTTTTTACAGATTTTAAGAAAACTACATAAGAATATGTACCGTCCACATGCAAGGGAATGTTTTATATTTTTTGTAATAGTAATTGGTCTATACTATTTCCTCTATTATAATGAAGAAAAAAGTATACATATTCTGCAAGAAGGTGAGAGTCGTAGTTATATACTGCTTAATATTATCGTTGCATTTATCAGTAGCTCTATGTGGAATCACTTTGGTTTATATACATTTCCTTTTCAGTCTTTTACTCCAAGTTTTCCTAGGTACTTAATTAATAGTCAGCAACTCTACACATAATTACATGCGTTACCCATAATAAGATCACTCTACCATTTATTACATTAGGGTGTGAAATTTAGATATCAGGGTTGTATATTAATCACTTTGACAGAACAACATTTATTTCCTAATATCTACATTATATATAGAATTTAGCTAGAAATCTAATCTACTATAAAACTTTGCAAACTTACTGCACAACGTAATTGCGCAAGCAAATGTATGCTTCAAAAAGAAACTGTAATTATTTTACAAAGTGTCTTCAAAGCTTCTTCACGACGCAAGAGTTGTGCAATTATTTTAGACAATTTTAAATTTCTACAACTAGTCGAGGAGCCTTTCAAGCGATAACATGGACTATAAAATTATTTGCTCAAAAACTCCGGTTATGCGATATTATTGCATGTGCATGAGGCCAATAACAGAAGACAAAAACTGTTTCTATCAAAACTGAATTTATTTATCACCTTTAGCTACTTGATCACATAATTTTAACCTACAATAGTTGAAAACACTAGGAGTATTGTTTACAAAAGACGGAAATAGCCATGAAGAAATAAATACAAGAATAAACAAAGGCAGAAACATTACCAAATGCCTAAACTCCATTCTCTGGGATAAAAAAATCACAAGAACGACGAAAAAACGAAAATATAAGACGATGGTTGAGCCGGTGGTAACATACGGAGCAGAGATATGGGACACTAGTAAAAGAAACAGGAAAAAATTACAAGCTATCGAGATGGATTTTATGAGAAGAAGCTGTAGATTGACAGGGATGGACAGAATCCGCAATGAAGAAACAAAACGTAGAATGGAGCAAGAAAAAGACATTATAGATTAAGTCCAGAAAAAACAACTAACTTTTTCGGTCATGTAAACAGAATGGCAGACGAGAGGTGGCCAAAGAAAATATTAAAATGGATCCCAACCGTAAGAAGGAAAAGAGGGCGTCCAAGAAGAAGCTGGCGAGATGACGTGAATGAAGCCATGGAAGGAAGACAGCTAAATGAAGCCGACACCCGAGATAGGAAACGATGAAACTACGACACTAGAACTACGACAACTAGAACTACGAAACTAGGGACAGGAAAACAACGACAGTTGTAAACAACCTGTACTATATATATATATATATATATATATATATATATATATATATATATATATATATAGTTTAAACCACTTTTTCTTCTTCTTTTTTCTTCACACACATACACTTAGACAGGGTGTGTATCGGTTACGCGGATAAATTCCATCTCTTGCAGCTTATTATTAACACACAAACATGTATAAACAAACAAACACACATAAAGACACACAAACTAAAGCAAACATGCACACACACCTACATACGCACGTACGCATGGACAAACTCAAAAACAAAGTAAATCCCAGTTCCAGAGGATACAACATTCTCGGAGTAATATGTTCTTACGTCCGAAGATCAAAAAGGTCATGCCTCGTGGAGACGGTATCTCCCTAACCTCTAAGCTATCTCCATCTCCATAATCGCTCATATATTAGGCTTTACTTGTTGTTTATCTTAGATACTCTGGGAAATGGAGCATCCGAGTGGCCTTTCTGTAGTGATGCCGCTTTAGTAGGGGAGGCGTTAGACGCTTTTCTCCCTTGTTTACCTTTTTTCTTGTGAATATTTTCCCCAAATATATGCCCGGCAAGCTAGTCATTGACCTTGGTTTTTACTTTGGCTTTCCGCTCTGAGGTTTTGTGTGTGCCGTATGATTGGCTGCCACTTTGGCAAACGATGTTTGCTTATCTCACCGGCCGACGATCCGAAAGGTCTGGCCAAAAAGCCTTTACCTAACAGTGTACAGCCCCAATGCTTAGAAATCTAAAATCTTAGGAATTTAGAACATCTTGTAGGCATCTTTTGACTAGGTTTAAATCCAGACTTCTCGTAGCTCTTGCTGTGTCATTGGGATATAGATTGAGCATGGTTAGGTACGACGAGAGAAGGCATGTCATTGCCTTGCTGTATCCAAGTTGGCTAATTTTGTGAATAAGCTCTTCGTGCCACACCTTATAAAATGCCTTACTAACATCTTATCCTTTTATCTTCACTGACGTTCTCTATGTCGTTTAATTTTTTGTGACGTATAATGTAGGTTTACCAAATAATCAAAGTTATGCCTTTGCAATAACATATTGTTATTAAAAAATAAGGTTGCATCCACACATATCATTGAAAAACGATTCATGTTATTTAAACACTGTTATGGACAAAGAAATATACTGCAGCGACGATATCTGTGAAGATGGTATTACCACAAAATTCATACTTGGTATCATATAACATTTTTGTTGATGGTTAAAAATTAAATGATAGATTTTATACACATATTTGAGGTGATCACAAACAAACATTTCAGTAACTTCATGTTTACGTATTCTCAGGGCGTAAAAATCACTCATTTTTTATTTCAATTTATATCAAATATTGATGTAGATACAACTATAATATTTCTTGCCTTTTTCTTATTCTTGAGGATACTAAATTACTGATAATTATTTTTCAGACAATATTATTCATTGTGTTTAATAATAAATTGTGCAGTAACAGTAATTGTTATATAGCATTTACTTTATTTATACCTCAATATATCCATCTTGATGAACTGTTTGCCTTTTATTTTTTTATTATGTATATATTTAATTCATGTGCATGGTGTATCTCTTTTAGACATTGTTATTGATTGATATTACAATTTGATTTATTATTGGCGACGTGCAAGTACTTGGATGTGATATGAGAAACGATCGTGCGCGAGTAGCGGAGAAATCTTGCATTTTTTACTGCACATTTCATAGATTTCATAAATTCATATTGTCAATTGTCATATTTCATATTCCTTTTTTTATTTACACCTTGTGTCACTGAAGAAAATGGGATTAAGGAAATGATGTGTTATAAAATGTAAAAATACAACAAAAAATTATCAATTTAAGTTTTATTCGTTTCCAACTTCGAAGCACAAATTACTACAAAGAGAAAAGTGAATTTATATCATAAAAAGCATAAGTAACATAACCTATATTATGTATTATTCTTGCTCCCGATTTTAAAGTCAGTTTGAAATAAATAATGAATAAAAGTTCACTTTTCGGTGTAAATTTTAGTTTCATAACACTTACTTAGAGTTCATTTTAACCCAAAAATCAAGTTTTATGTTTAAATTTTATTTTTTTTTAAGTTTACAAAAATGCATCAAGTTTAAGTTTTTCTGAAGATGCATTAAGATATATTCGCTGTCCAAAAATTTTATAGGGAAAGAATTAATTGTTCACTCCAATATGATGATATCATGGGCTATTATTTAGCGTATGGCTACATCACAGGTTCATATAAATATAAATATATAAATATAAATTATATAAATTACAAACAACAGTAAATATAAAAATATTATTCTACAAACAAACATCTAAATTATAAATATATTCGATTGACTCTTTTGTAGCAGCCAGGAAATCTGAAGGGTTGCCATTATAGGATCTAATCGGGCATTCCTCTACCATGTGTTTTACTGTTTGCCTTTCGGCGCCGCAGTCGCAATTTGGTGATTGTATTTTTCCCCATCTAAAAAGTGAGTCGGAACATCTGCCACAGTTCGTCCTTATTCTATTGAGTGTGGTCCAAATTCGTCTCGGTTGGTTGAAGCCCTCAGGTTTGCTTGTAATACATGGCATGTTCCAGTTAGCTGGTGCAGCGTTATTCTCCCATTGTTCTCTCCACCGTTCAGTTACATTAAAGTTTTGATCTACTAGCCTTTTTGCTGTTTGTAGAGGCGGGTGTCTTGAACGGAGCCTATTTATGTCTCTGGCGGAAGTTCCGACATGGGAGCGGAGCTCAGGATCAGTATTGATTTTTCTAAATTCTCTGACAAGGGCATGTTCCCGGCGGATATGTGGTGGGGCTATATGACTCAAAGCTGGTAACCAGTAAGTGGGCGTGGCCTTGATTGTGCCCGATATAGTTCGCATGGCTTGGTTGAGTTGGACATCAACACGGTGAGTATGTGGACTGATTATCCATACTGGTGCACAGTATTCCGCTACGGGGTATACCAGTCCTAATGCTGTCGATCTAAGTGTGGGTGCTGAGGAGCCCCATGTAGTGCCGCAAAGCTTTTGCAGGATGTTGTTACGAGTTCGGAGTTTTGCAGCAGTCTTAGTAAGATGCTCTTTAAAGTTCAGCGTTCTGTCAAGTGTAACACCTAAGTATTTTGGGTGTTTATTATATTTAAGGAGTCTATCCTCAAAATTGATTTGAGGTTGATAGTTGGCCATTTTGTTGTATAAATGGAAGCAGGACACTTCTGTCTTAGTTGGATTGGGTTGCAATCTCCATTTGCGGAAATAATTCCCTAGGGCATTTAAATCGTTTGTTAGAATGCGTTCAGTGACCTCGAATTCTTTATGACTTGCGGCAAGCGTCCAGTCGTCTGCGTATCCAAACTTTTGATGTGGTTTCTGGCATGTCTGCTATGTAGAGGCTGAAAAGCATGGGAGCCAGCACGGATCCTTGTGGAAGTCCATTATTCAGTTTTCTTTGGGTACTAGTCTTGTCTCCCAATATAACTTTAAAGCATCTGTTGGATAGCATGGCGTTAATAACCTCAGTGGTCTTTCTGCATGGGATTATTCGCATTAATTTATATATTGCCCCTTGTCGCCACACAGTGTCATAAGCAGCAGATAGATCGATGAAGACAGCGGTTGTTTTTGATTGCTTTTGAAAGTTTGATTCCACATAATTGGTCAGGGCGAGTACCTGGTCTGTGCAGCTGCGGTTTGGCCGAAATCCTGCCTGTTCCACTGGTAAGTGTTGGAATATGGTTTTGC